TTCTTTTGCCTGTTAATTCTTTCCACGAAGTTATTGTTTCTTCTACAAATGTTACTCTTCAGGGTTCTCCCAGTCTTTGTGGATTTTCCCACCTTATGGTTTTTAACTATCCCGCTGTTCCTGGAAGATACTGGTATACATCCTTAAATTTAGGAATCAAAACCAGCCTGTAAGTGGATTTGCTTAAAATAACCTCATGTTCCTAAATTACCCTCGTTTGGAGCAAGACCAGGTGTCCTGGCATAGAGCTGAGAGGAGTCACTGACCACCTCCCAGTTAACACAAACAGCTACACCTGGTGCCAAGTGCATGTGCAGCTTTTGTCTCTTTGTCTCGCACAGAACATGTTGCTTTGCTGGCCTGCAAATCTCCTCAGCTCTAGAGAACATCAGCAGTTGAGCTGTGGGCTGGTGCATCAGCTGCTGACTTCCCCCAGCTGATCCCAGGTACCTCCTATCTCATTATCTGCAGGAGGTGTAGCAGTAAATGTAAAGAGTAAGACAGGCAGTTTCTTGGCTGAAGAAGGCTGAATTACCAAGCAGAGGCTGTTTCTGTATCTGTAATTTGTCAGATGAATTATGTCAGGCCCTAGGACTCTTACTACCTATTGGAAAATGTGTGGCTATCCCTGATAATTCCCCAAATTTTCTCATAGCAAAAAAGTTTTTAGCACCTTTCTGTTTTTCTTGTAAGTAGCCAATCTGTATGTGAACCCATTCTGCAGTGACACAATTCTGCTCAAGGAGTTATCTTCCAACCCTTAAATACAGGCATGTATGTTTATTTTATATATATTATATTTTTATGTAACTAAATAGAAAACCACCTTTTTTTCAAGGATAGTTACTCAGAGATGTTTTCACAGACTTTTCCAAGAAAATCTGGTTTTCTATGATGATGTTCTCAAGGTTGTTTAGCCCAACATATTAATATCCTTCATTTGGATTCAATTATTTAGGACTTTAAAAAGGTGTAAAAATACATCTTTAGATTTTTAGGATTCATGTACACTCAGCAAGGCTTTAAGAATTCATTTAATTCTTTTTTAAGCACCAGCAATGTAACAGAATTCCTCAGACAATATACTTTCCCATTATTTCAAAGAGTATGGTTTTTTAATCGATAATTTCTATCTACTGAAACTTTAATTTTAAAATTATAATTTTGATCAATTGGAAAAGTTTAAGACTAATGTTCATATTAGAAAACTTAAGACATTAGTGCACCAGGATGAACAGCTGATCCACATTTTGAACACAAGAGGACAAAGTAAATTTTGATGCAACATCCTGAAATACAAATTCAAGCATGCAGGGCACAAAACCTGTACCTTGAGCAGGGAGCCTTAACTTGCTTTAGACTTAAGAAAATTAACAAACTAAAGAAAACTAAGCTGGACAAAAATAGAAAAGACACTGGAATGTATTACATTGGTGAACTTACCTGATTTCTTCTCTGTCTTGTCTATTTGAATATTTAGCTACTTAAAACCCCTACCTTCAGGTATTTTTGCCATCATATCAAAAACCAGATGGATGTTCTTCCGACAGATATCTGCTGGATCATCCAAGAGCCCAGTGAGGGCAGAAATCACTCCGTTTTGTATTAGCCCTTGCCTGAAAACAAAGGAGGACAGACTTAACAATCATGATAAAACTCATATATATGTGTGAGATACTTAACTACTCTTATTTATGTTGCGTTTCTCTTAAAAAGACTTGGAGATTCTGTTCTCGTGTCTCACTGAAACACCTTTATCACTTCCCATACCATTCAGTGAACTTGGAGTTACACCCACCTGCCCACACTGTGCACACTCATCAGATACAGAACTTCGGTTGCTTTTTGCCGGACGGTGTTGTCAGGATGTCCCAGCAAAGTCTTCAGGTTATCCAAGAATCCTGTGAGACACCACAGTTCATTTTAACACTTCTTACCTTCAGCGTTCATTTGAAATAGCAATACTCATTTTTATCTCACAATTTGAAGTGCAAACAATCAGAACTTTTAAGTTGTGCTGACAGTGAAATGCTCGTTGTCATATCTCAAGAAGGGAAGAAACTTTCAAATTTCAAGGCCTACTGCCAAAAATGTCATGCTGCAAACAAGCTGCTGACTTATCTATCAAGTTAAATTCTAATTCTGCAAATATAAAGTGATATAACTCTAAAAATAAGTCAGTGGAGCTGTTGGTGTCTTTGGAAAAGCATGTGTTTGCAGGATTGATGATTTTTTAAACTTCTTCAGGTGTAGCACAGGCTACATAAAAACACAGTGTTGCTTTACACACAGAAATAAATGTGGTGACCCATTAATGATTCTGTGTATGCACAGGTAGCACTGACAAAAAACAAACAAACCCAAACAACCAACCAACCAAAAACAAAACAAAAATAAAAACACACACAAACCCCCAAAAAACCACAACACAACCCTAAACAACAATTTTGCATTACTTTGGCAGCTACTGTTAATCAAACAAGAGCTTAAAAAATTTTAAACACGATTATTGTCTTTTATGAGGGGGGAAAAAACACAAAGGAAGTAAATGGAGAAAAAAGCAGTGGCAAACTGGAGGACTTTTCCAGTGTAACATAATGAGGTATGTAGATACACAACAGACTGCTAAAAATTGCAAAAAGTAAGCTCGTGGCTTTTCTTTTCTCCAAAATCCAAAGCTAGGATTCTTCAAAGTGCTGGGATAAAGGCTTCTGAAAATAGTGATGGCCAGATGTAATCATGATGGGTCTGATAAATTTGGTTAAATTGCCTTCTGTCTTAATTTCTCATGTAGTTCTGGGGCTGGTGTTTTGTGTTTGATTTTTTTGTTTGGGTTTTTTGTTTGTTTTGTTATAGGCTTATTGTACAACCACTAAGATACCTCTAAGAAGGAGTTCTGCATAAAAAGCTCTTTATGTTTTGTCTCTCTGATAAAATTATATCTGGATGTGACATTTTATTCACTGCTGAAGGAATTAATGACAGAGGATGACTTCAGAGATTCTGTAAACTTGTAGATATTTTCTGAAAATTATTTTATTAGTTATTAATTAAAATGTTCATCAGAATTTTTTCCTGTTATTATTAGGGGATCTGAGATATGAGTATTTTGAGCATCTCAAGCATAACAGATCCAGGAAGGTAAAACTGTCCTCTGTCATATGTGGTAGAAAATGTCTAATGAAGGAAAAAAAAATCAGGGATTTTGCCTTTTCCCCCTGCTTTAGGATAACTAAAAGCCTTCCATTTTCCCCTTTCTAAATAAAATATATTTAGCAGTTCTATGATAATAGAAATTTACAAATTCACTGCTTTGTTTATGTCTGAAAGGTTAATGGATAACAGAATTAGAAAAGATTCCAGGGAAATTAAATTTAACTAAGTGACAATGTGAGTGGTGATGGTGGGGTTTCTAAGTATGGACTATTGAAGCTTTTTTTTTTTTTTTAATTAGTATATGTTAGGAATTAGCTAAATTCAGAATAAAGATTGGGGACATGGTTTAGAGGTGAATATGGCAGTACACAGTTAATGGTTGAACTTGATGATCTTAGAGGTCTTTTCCAACCTTGATGATTCTGTGGTTCTATGGGAAAAAAAAGAATATGAACTAGTTTTGTACTTAGGGGTTGAGAAAACTTAAGAGTGAAGCATTGATAAATCCTAAAGTGAGGGTAACTCTTAAAATACTGCCATGTATATGGCACTATAATATTCTTTACCTTTCTAAGGTAAAACAAACAGAAAAATTTTCCTGGGCATTTTGTGTCATCAGAGATATCGTAAGGAAAAAGTAACGCAAGAAAGGAAAGTGGGGTTTCCCCCTCACGCTGCCCTGCTGTGTCAGAGCTTATGACAACACATCACTCACCTATTTCTATTGTCTGGTAGACCTTTTCTGGATCATGGGCCAGATCACAGAGCGCCATCAGTGCCCGCTGCTGCGTCAGCAGCTCGCCAGACTGTAACTCCTCGTTCAGCTTGGGAAGGGCCCTCCTCCCAAATGCCAGAGCAGCTTTTGTGGGATCTATATCGGGGGGCAGGTAGGCTGAGATACGAGGCTGTGCCATCCCGAAGTTTCCTGGGAAGGATTCTCCCTATCTCTAAAAATACTCCAAAATGGCTGTACTTGGTGACTGGACAGATAATGTGCCAAAGTGACACCTACTGACTTTGAACAGTGCTCTGTGTCCCAGAGGAGCTATTTTAGCACATGAACACTGTCAGGAAGCTGTGAAAGAGGCTGGACTGGTGCATAGTCACTGGCACTAATATCTGTTCATCTGCTGAATTGTCTTCTGGTTCAATTCTCAACTGAACACTGTAGAGGAAAAAAAAAGAGAAAGAAAGAAGCTTAAAATTGCAAGGTGATGGAGGTAATGATTTTCAAAGGATTAAAACGAAGCGGCCCAATGCCCCGAACCAAAAATAATAATAATATTAAATAATAATATTAAAATAATAATATTAAAGCAAAAGCAAGCAAAGTGACATTGTTTCAAAAGGGATCTAGTTTAAACCCGCCCTCAGAATTCGGTAACGTTTGATAGACCGGGCGATGGCTGCCCTCCCCTTCCCTCAGCACGGAGAGCGGCTCTGCTGACAGAACCATACGACCTCCACTACTGAAAACTGCTCCACACAAAAAACAAACAAACAAAACAAACAAAAAAACCCCAGAAACCAAAGAGCTGAAAAGTTAAAACAACCGCTAGACAACTCCGTTTCTCAATTCAAACCCAAAGAAAAGCACTGGATAACCGAAGGCACCGTGTCCCGGCTCCCGCCCCTCAGCCCCGGGCGGCCGCGCACCGCGCGCGTGCCCTGGTTGCCACAGCGCCCGCTCTTTGCGTACGCGCCGCTTCGTGAATAGCGGCTGCTCAGCCGAGCACCGGGTCCGGCCCTGCGCCAACAGCGTAAGTGCCGCGTGTGGCCGCGGCTGCCGCGAGGGAGTTACGCCAGTGGCGTAGTGGAGCGCCGCGGGCGCTGAGGGGCGGCCCCTCAGGGCGGAGGGTCTGTGAGGGCACGAAGGGACGGCGCCCTGGGGTCACCGTGTGGGGCGGTTCTACCTCGCCTCTCTGCTGAAGTGGGCGGTCTCTCTTCTCGCCCCCTGTTTTCAAAGTAGTTACAGTTGAGAAAAATAAAAATTGAGAAAAATTCAGGGTGAACAAAATGGTGGTCGAGTTACGAGCAGGAAGACAGCAGGCGAGCGCCTTGAGGTGCAAGGGTCGAAGAGAGCGCAGGGAGTTTTGGACCAGGTTTTCTTTCCTAATCTTCTCCAGAATGTCACTATGAACAGCTAGAACGTGTAGTAAAGGTTTCTGTTACCATTACGTAGTTTCGCAGATGTTCAGAGGAAGGGGCATGGGAGGAACATGCCATTGCAATGTTGCTGGCAGAGCTTAAGGGTGTTCTGGGTTGTGAGATGCGATCTGGCATCAGGGAAAAACTCTGGATAGCTTGTACTGTAAAATTTTCGGTCTCAGTGCAGATAGTGAAATTGTCAAGATTTTTTCATTACGTCTGAGTAACAATAATTATAATCAAAGGTTTTAAACTGGATTTTACTAATCCAAAGTAATTCTGATCAGGATTAAAATACATCGCAGGAATAGATTCTGCTTTGTTGATCTTCAAAATCCATAAAAGAAAAATTACTACTTTAAAAAGTATTTTCTGGAAAGGATTCACTTTTTTTGCAACGTTTTAGAGCAGATTATTTAAAGAAGAGTTTACTTTCCTAACTATACTTCTGCTAACTATATCTTTGTAAAGTTTCTCCATATTTCCATAGGAAGAATGTGAGCTTTTTTCAGGGTAGAAGAGGCAGGAGAAAACTGGAGACTTCATTTGTCCTTCAGTGTTGACTCGGCTTTGGGCATGAATTTTGCTGTCTTGTCCTTCACCATAGCTTGGAATACTGATGTTGTTAGTGGTCATGGCATTAACTTATTTTATGTATGCCTTCTGAATGCCTGCCTCAAATCCTTTGTCTATCCACAGAATCTGCTGGTGCTCCTGTTCTTGCAGCGTTGAGATAAGGAGGGTTTTGATGCCGTGGAGACACTGTGTTCCCAGCCCTCCCTGGTGACTGAATCCCCTTTCAGCTCTGTAAGAAGAGAAAATCTGGATCTCGGCACTGATCATTCTCAGTATTTTTAGCAGCTTTTTATTTCTTATTTTTTTTTACTCTAATGGTGTGTCTAATTTGTTGATTTGGTAAATTGGGATATTTTTATGCATGTGTGAGATTTAGATTAAATACAATAAATGTAAGTGAAGTTAGCCCCTCAATTTTGATATAATTCTGTTTGTTTGCTTTGGTTCCTCCTGTACTTTGCATTCACTGAGATTGTTGAACTGGGGGTATTTTTGTAGCTTAGTTTGTGAAAGAGCTCTAGGAGATGAGCAGTGAGTCACCCTATGTACACATGACAGAAGCAAGTTAGTATTTGAAACTCTTACCCAACTAGTGGAGTTTTTCTTTTTAGAACTATAGCTCTGACATTAATTAAGACATTAATATTGCCATACAGTCATTCAAGCTTGTCAGAAGGGCAAAAGGCTCTAGATCTCTCAAATTTTATATGGTCACAGGTAACATAAGTAGAACTATCCATATGGTAATAGATAAATACTGTAATGTTGCTTTCTTTGGTGAATAACCCATCAGCTGCAAATCTGGATTCTTTGAGGGGAAGTGGCTGTTCTGGTGTGGTCGAGATCACGTGGGTGTCTGAAGTGGTTTAAAAGCAACTCCTCACAAAAGAGAATAAAACATTAATTCTAAGTAGTGGACTAGCAATTTTGTTGAGCATTGTTCTTATTGTAGGGTTGTAAAACACAACTGTAGGGTTTTTGTTATGTACTTGCTCGCTGTTTAAAATTACTTGCCTGCATTCATTTGCCCTTTAACGTTTTTAGTCTGCTGCAGGAGTGGGAGAGGCTTGTCTCCTTGTTCCAAGCCTGTGCCAGCATTATCAACATATGACTGTTAGAATGGGAGAGCTTTCTTTTCTCCTGAAATTTGGAACTTTAAATCCTAATGAAATACATAGCAAAATCTTTTAGCATCCTAAATTGCAGTCTGGCACACTAAATGCTGTCTAAATTAATGAGTCGATTAACAATACTTAGGTAATACAAAAGAGCTGTGTGATTTCTTATTCCTTGGTTTTGGTGTTTTGCACATTAGAAAGCAAGATTACTGATGACTAGAAAGACATTTATATAATTCAGAATGTCTCATTAGTGGCATGCGCATCCTGACTCTAAAGCTGAGATGAAATCAAGTTGAAACGCTGAAAAAATCCCTTAGGAGTTTCTTTATAATTGCTACTATGCTTAATATTAGCACCGTAAGAGTTTCCCACTCCTTTAGCTCCTTGGCAGTTGTGTCAATCCTGCTCTTTGTATCCAAATATACAACTATGTTTAAAGACAATGGAACTGTTTCGTTATATAGGATTAGGGGCCATTGGGTTTATTATGGAGCGGTTTCTGATCAGAGGAGTCTGTATGACCGCTAAACTCAGGTTTTTTTCTTCTAAACCGAGAGTCCTGTGTATAGTTAAATCACTCCAACTCCGCCTTCCCGGTCTGTGGAAGAACGGGAGGAAGGGAATTGTTGCAAGCCTGTTGCTATGGCCACGTAGCAGCGGGCTGAGCTGTTTGTGTGGCTGGAATCCTGCTGCATCAGCTGCTGCACGGTGAGTCCTTCCTTACACTTTGCTACATGATGGAAATGCTCTTATTAGAAACGTTCTTTGAATGCCACTAAGAAATTGGTACCCTATTAAGGGTCCCCTCCCCCAGCAACCCACGAGGTTTCATTGCATAACCAAATTGATATGTCTCAGGTGAGACATTTAAATGCATTTGTGATTTTCATGTGAGCATTATTCTTTTTCCATGTCAGACTATCTACTGATTTCATTCTTTCTGGGCTGATCTTGGATGAAAGTTTGATGTTGTGCCAAGAAATGTGGCAGCTTCACCTTTCTTCCTTTCTCCCTCTGACCAAATGAAATCTGGTAGCCCCTAACATTTATTAATGTGCTCAGTGCAGAGGCATTTGAAACAACGATGAGCAAGATTTTCAAATTAAGCACTGCAAAATCCTTTGAGGGCTAAAGTGCAAGCACTTGTGTTGAATTAAGTGAGCAATTCTCTGCCCTCCCATGGAATTAGAGCTGGTTCCTTGTAGTTTCAGAAGTCACTGTTTGCTACTAGAGCTGTGCACACTGAAGGGGTCCCTTTTACTTAAGAAACAGGTTTTCTTCAATGCAAATTGAGTGAAAGAACTGCCAGTTGTACCAAAAAGACAAAAAAAGAAAAAAGATAAGTCTGTAAGAACTTAGTTAAGTTTTTGTTTGATCATATTGTCCCTGTATTGAGGTAATTCCTGAATACTATGTTTTTCTTTGCATATTTTCTCTCTGCTAGCATTTAACTGGATTTGGAGGATGAAGTCCAGCCTAATGCATTTTGTTCCCCCAGTGAGTAGGGACAGAATAATCTCCCAGTTTCCCAAGGTAAGCATTCTGTATAGCCCATGCCACACTGATCTATCTTTCCCTTGTGCCAATGCTATTTTAATTTAACTTAATGTACACTTGTTGTCTTCTCTTAAAATTACAAATTATTTAAGAATTTCTCTCAAAGTTTAATGTGACCTCAAATTCCCATTCAATGCTGACCTCTTTAATAATAATCCTCACTTCTTCTTTTTAACCTTTACAAAAAGTGACTCTTGCCACAGAAGTGTTATCTTATAATATTTATCTTGCTATTTCAGCAAAACATTAATAATTACATGCTTAAAGAGCTCCAACACCAATGGGAAATAGGAACCATAGCTTATCTTAAATATGCAAAAAAAGTCTAATTAGGAGGCTTTGGTTGAAGAATTTGAGGCAATTTTAATTTTCTGTTTGTATAGGAACCTTAGTCATACAGTAAATCAAATGTAACAGGCACTGTAGAAACACAGACAAAAGCCCTTTGATGTCCCCAAAGACTTTTTTATTTGAAGTATAATAGCAGAGTAAAGGACAAGGAAGGACAAGGAATTACCATTCCATTTTTTCAGTTGTTCAAGAGATCGTTTTAAGGGAGTTAGCATTTTTTTTCCATGCTTGATCTCAGCCACATATTTTGCTTTTAATTTTATGAAAAATATAACAGGTATTTTTAGCAAATGGGAAATCAAATACATTTTCTTCATTTTTAACTAATTCCTAGTTAAAGGTTAATAATAAAAACGGTGCTTCACACTTAGAAGAGATTGAAAAGACTTCATAGGAATAATGACTTGCTGGTGGTGTGCTCCCATCTGTGTTTGTCTTGTGTGCCTTAGATCACTGGGATAATTCAAGGCACTTACTGTGGTACAGAATTTGCTTTGGGTGCTTGGATGCTGACACTCAGAAAGATGGTCAAATGATGGTCCCAAGGAGTTTTACAACTGGGGGGGAAGCCTGACTGCCTTCTAAGCCAAGCTATCCCTTTTCTTATGCCAGGATAACTCTGTGCTCGACAAACTCTTTGAATAATCTTCTTGCCTGTTTTTCCTTGCTGATTTGCTCTTGCCAAGCAGCCCTCAGGCAGTTTGTCCCAGCAGCTGTTCTGTGTTTCAGTGGTACACACCTGAGGCCTGTCTGCAGCTTAAGGAGCACTTCCCTGCCCAGGTCAGCACTGCCTGTCAGCAGAGCACTGCAGCAGCAGGGTGAGTTTGGAACAAACCAGGTATGCAACGAAGAAAGGATTTTCAGTTCTTGGTAGCCTGCTTTCTTCACTGGCTTTTCCTTCCTCATTCCTCTTGTTCCTCACTCCAGTGTGTTTCCAGGCAGCCAAGCCCATGCACATGGCAGTTCTCTGACCTGTTTGACAGTAAATGAATGAACAAAGTGCCTCTTCTTCCCAGGAGTGTCAAAGATACTTTTACTCCTGGCATACGTAGCACTGAAAAAATGGTGGAGCAGTTTAGCAACAAATAGTTTTTCAGCACCTTTGAATTAAACACTTCAAAGTATTTACTTTGTTCAAAAGATCCAGCAGATCCAGCCTTGTTGTGTTCTCTGCTGGTGTTCAAAAGGAGCAGATAATAAAGGCTTTGGAGGGATAGAAACACAGCAGTTCTAAGTTCCTTGAAACACCTAAGAATCTAGTTTTAGTCTTTTTTGAAGTTTACATGCTGAGAAGTTCTCTTAAACGGTTCCTTAAAACTGGAGCAAAATTCTAGTAAATACATAGCACTGGAAAATCCAAATAAGCTGTTTTATGCCCTAGTAATAATCTTGAAGTTATTTTCTTCTCCCACCTTCTCTCTCTCCCAGAACTGTTACCATTACTGATTTAATCTCCTGAAGCAAGGCAGGAAAGCTAAACTATGTTAGAGACCATCACTATTCAGCCAAAATAAATAGCTGTATGTTTTAGTGATAAATCCTTCTGTGCTTCAGTGTGAGGAATCTTCCATAAAGTGGAGCTTCTATGAATACTGACAGTTAGCTCACTGTTCTTTCAAATCTGGAGCTGGTGATTACCACAAGACTTGTCATGATATACATCTTTAAATGCAACATTTTATTCATTTCACTTGGGAGTCTTGCTAAAAAAAAAAAAGAAAGCTAAAATGTATCACGCTGAGAGATATCAGTGACTTTACTACTTTTTTAGAAGCACAGTCACTGTCTTAGTTTCATGTAAATTTGCTACTTCCTTTATTGAATTGAGGTATTTTCCCCTTCTGATGCCAACATCTCTATGTTTTGGGGTTTGGGTTTTGTTTTTTTGTTTGTTTGTGGCTTCTTTTTGTTTTTAATTTCCAGAGTAAACCTACTGTCCAGTTAACTTATTCTAGTAGCAGAGTACAGCTAAAAATCTTTACATTTTGGCTTTGTGATTAAAATTAAACACTTTTCTGTCACTGCTCTCTAGAAGTGATTATTATTTGGTGATTTAAATAATTTTTTGGTGTAATGGGGGCAAAAGGGCAGCCAGTGTTTTGTACAGTACTTGTAAAGCTTGACAGGAATAACCATTATCTTCCTTTTCCATTATCCCAAGTAATAAAATATTTCTTTGTCATTTGGAAAGCTAGTCTGAGAAATTCAGTAGCTAATGGCTGTAGTTAAGACTCTCTGAATATTCCATCAGTGTGTTAAATTGTCTAATCTGGGGAGGTTTTTTTTTCCCCAATACAAGTTAATGGAACACACACCTCTAAACCATCACTTACTTTTTTGCTTTTCCCTGAAGGTCATTGATTTTACTCAGTATTTTCTCAGTAACAGTTAATCAGGCAGAGACATTTCAGCAGCATAGGGGCCTGTGACCACTCAGTTATTGTTGACTGTCACCAAAAACACCTTCTTTTTTTTTTGAAATATTAGTCATGTGGCTTACCAATCAAGATTTGGACTATTTAGAATAGGTAACTTGGCACCAGCATCACATGGAAGTCTGATGTAACCAGAAATAGTATTCAGTAGATTAATGCCTTTGTTTAAAAAGCCATTCCTTGCTAGAAAAGAACATTAAACCTCTTAAGCCATTTTTGCCAATCCAAGTTTAGGTCAGCAAGAACACTTACATTCACTTATCCACCTGTGTCTCCTAAAAGGTACACTCAGTAGCAATTTGAAGAATGCAGGCTGAGTCACCCAAAGCCCATCTGCTGTATCCTGGGGGAGGACCTAGAGCAAAGAGGATTATTTACATGAAGCCAGCTTCAGCTTAATATTATTCCAGGTAGTCAGAAAATGTATTGGCTCTAACCTTGTGGGTTATTTTTCCCAGAGACACATTCTGCAGTGGGTTATTTTATTATCAGCAATTTTTTGTTTCTGCATTTAGGGCTTTATTTGTACTGCTAAAGTCAATGAGAAACTTGTGATTAATTTTAATGCAAAGGATGTAGATACTCTATAGTCTTATGTGCAAACTGTCAAATGTATACACCTGTAGTCAAAGCAATTTTAATGCAGTAGAAGTAATATCCCACTGGAGTAAAATTAACTAAAAAATAGAGAGAGTAATAAACAGACTATTTCTGCTCCAGAAGGGTTTGTTTTTTTTGGTGACCTTCTTTCTTGCAATTTAAGGTTCTGCTCGTGCAGCACAGTGGCACTTAGGGAAACTTAAGTCACAGGTGATGTGCTCATCACTTGCAATTTAAGGATCTAAATCAGAATTTTTAGAGAGAGACTCTTGAAATTGCAACTAAAACCATGTAACATTTTCAAATATTTATAACAGGCTGAAAATATCCAAAGTGGTTGTGGTAGGAGATCTGTATGTTGGGAAAACCAGTCTTATCAACAGGTACAGTATATCTCACCAGATGTTTGGTTTTCCTGCTTCTCAAGTAAGTGTTATAACATTTCTTTGCTGTCCACTGAGAGTAGTACTTCATGAACCTGAACCAGAACTTCATGGGTTTGTTATTAAATGAAAGACAAAACTAAGACTATGGTATGAGAAAGGCTTAATACACCACCACAGAAGGGCATGCTCTAGCACTTCAATCAGTTTATATTATATTCTGAAGTACTTTTATCCAGTCAAATATGATACATTGTTTTCTTAAGACATCCAGTCTAAAGGCTAAACAATTGGAAAAAAAATTCAGTGTCTGAGTCTTGGTTTCATGTTTTCTCCTTAGTTGCAGGGCTGTTCACTGAGCCCTTTTCAGCCATCCTTGTGTGGGTCCCTGTACTCATTTCTACAGTGCAAGACTGTAGGAGAAGCTCGAGCAGAAGGATCTTTAAGGCAGAATGCCTTAAAAAATACTTCCTTGATTCTTTACTGAATGTTAAAAAAAGCTCTTATGCTTTTTGTGGTTAGGTCCAGTGACCAGATCACTGAATTTCTGTAGCTTATTATCACTGTGACACCTTTTTGTCTATGCTTGCAGCATTGTCATCATTATTATTTCTTCAAGTAGAACTTAAAAACCCTAATCTCATTGACAATCATTTGAGTCATTACTTATGACCCAAAATGTATTCCCTTGTAAGTAAAACTATAAGATACTGTACATTCTTTGACAGTCCAAAAATGTTCTGATTCTCATCTTATCCTGAAAGCTTACTAGATGTTTGTGCTTCATAATTTGCTATACAGTATCTCCTTTTTTTAATCAGTGTCTTAGTGTTTTCAGATATGCTTCTACAATATATAGCCAATCCACAGTTAGTTAATTATTTCCTTCATAATTTACCCTGACAGTGTTATTTTTACAGTTATTTGTAGTTGTGTCTTACTAGTATTTCATCCCTTTTTTTTTAATTGCAGATTTTGTAAAGATAATTTTGACCGAGACTACAAAGCAACCATTGGAGTGGATTTTGAAATGGAACGTTTTGAGATAATTGGAATCCCATATCATCTCCAGATGTAAGTTGAAACAGGATGGTTTAGCATTGCTCAGAGTACAGTCTCAGCAGAGCTTGTATTGCTGCAGGCTCCAGTGAAATAAAGATTTTTTTGAAAATAATGAAATTGCACAAAGAATAATGTGATCTGAAAAAAGGGTTCTGTAGCTGGACCTGCAGTTTTAGTAAAAATTTTGCTGTCTTGGATTTCTCATCCCTAAAAAACGTTACAAGCTTATCAGTGAAAATTCATCTTGGATGTCTTGTAGAGACATTTCAGTAGAGTTCTGCCTCTTTTACTCAACTTTCATGAAAGAGAAGTGGGAGCTTTTGACACAACCTTTGTCCAGGTCTAGGGTTGCCCAGTCTGTCATTTGGGTTTAAAAGGCACGATGAGCACTGGACTTGGCTTTACTGGGAGTTTTATTCCTGCTGCCATTGAAATGAATGTTAAGGTGTCCAGTGATTTCAACACCTTTTAGTTAGGGACTAATTAATTATCCCCAAGTCATAGAAAGACTGGAGTGTTTTTATTAGTATGTGAACCTGTTATCTTTGATTTTCAGCTTCATTTGTCAGACTAGTGGAATCCTGCCCTTCTTTCACCTGCTTTGGGTCTGCTGAAGGGAGTCCTTTGGTGTTTCCAGTGGCTGAAAATGTTTTTCTGTAAAGGGCATTATGGAATTATTTGTGCTGTAGTGTGACCTAAAGCAGAAATAAGATGCTTTGCATGAGGTATTTTAGTGCATGAATCTTAAAAACCTTTTCACTTCGGAACACTTTTTTTTCAGTGACATCCCTGATGTAAATAGATGGCTCGTGGTATTTATTGAAATATACTTAGGAATCCATTTCCCACGCATTTCAGTGCAATTGTGTTTTGGAAAATTCTACCAGGCCCTTGAGTCCCCCTAAAAATGTAGATTCATGTGTCAGTGTTCTTCAAACTAAAGCAATAAGGTTCATGAGCTGCTAAACATCAGGTTGCATTATCTGCCAAGTCCTCAGGAGCTGGGTAGAACATTTCCATGTGATAAGCACTAGTGCCCCCTCCTGCTGGGAGATTTCTATACAAGATAAATTTGAAGTATCTGTGAGTGGCAGCACTAGGCTACAACAACCCCAAACCTCTGCAGTGCTGGCAGAACCTGAGGGCACTGCATATAGAGTTCATTAATAAAAAACACTTTCTTAATTTTATTTAATGGTGTCATTAGTAGCTGGTAGACTGAGCTGCAGGTCTCTAATTTGTAGTGTATGGACAGATATCCCATCCAGCAGCTGCAAGACTCTAACATGGGTTAATACGTGATTTATTTAGTATTAGCACAGGAAATGTACAAAATTAGACTGCCCCAGAAATCCATGTAAATGGCATAGATGAAAAAAAATGTTTTGAGGAAAGGGTATTACCATGCAGAATAAAAATATTTGAATTGTGTCTCCAAAATAAATGGTATTTTAAAAAAAAAGATGTTAAAACAGAGTTCACATGTCTTCATTAAATAATAGAGCTTTACTGTATTTCTATCAGCAGTTAATGAATAACATGTTCCAGATGGTGACACTTCTCTGGTATCACATTCTTCTCCGCCTTGTGCCAGTCTGCTGCTTCATTACCATGTTTACTCAGGTTACACTGGGTTTCATTAACCTGAAATTTCTTTTTTCCCCCCATTGCACAGATGGGACACAGCAGGTCAGGAAAAGTTCAAGTGCATTGCATCTGCTTACTACCGAGGAGCAGAGGGTGAGAACAATATTAATTTGATCCTGGCTGTGTCAGGAGGTTGTGTTTTATACAGAAATGTATATGCCTATATGCTCCTTGGGAAGGTACCTGTAGACCCAGTGTGGTGGAAGGGATTGTCTGTTCCTGCAGGGAAGAAGGGATGAAGAAATTCGTGAATTGATGTGTTGTCACATCTCCAAGCTCTGAATGTTTCGATGTTGCAGTGATAAAAATTGGCACTCATGTTTAAGGGGTAAAGAATTTGGGTTTGGGTGAGAATAATGTTGGAGTTAGAAGTGGGTATTTCTGGCATTTCCTTTGGTAAGAAACAATTTCTGCAGGAATTAGTGGTCCCAAAACAAAAGGGTTAACAGCACTGTAGACTGCAGACTACAGGTAAAGATGAAATAAGGTTGAAGACTAAGGACTTAAGTCTTATTGGGTGCTAGAAAAAGAAAAGGAATGAGCAAATGGATAGTCTTCCACCTCCTGTGTGTTAAATCTGTTCTTGCACCTTATATGTAAACATTCTCTCTGTTTAACAAGATGGGTTGGAGAGAATTCTGATACACCTTCTAACTTAATTACTTTTTATTCTGTTCTTGTCTTTTATTGCAGTTATAATAACAGTGTTTGATCTGGCTGATATCCAAACTTTGGATCACACTAAGTAAGTTTCTGCATTTTGGCTTATCCTTGAAAGGTTTTACAGCAGGTTTAATTGCCTTCCATATGTAGGTGTTGAGAACTTGCTGGATCATGAGTGTATTTTCTCTTGAGCTAAGAAATGAAAAACGACAGTCACTTGTTTGGATTGCATAGGGTGGGATTTTTCTGAAGAAAATGCAGGGCATAGATTTGAACTATTTACACTTGACTTCCTTTAAAGTCAGTGCAGAGAAAAAGGCCCTTCAGTCAAAGCTTGATCCTTCCAAAACTAGACATGCAAGAAGAGATGAAGTACACCCCAAAAGCATTCTTTTTTTACTTCATTTGCTATAAATAGAATAACAGGCTGGCACCTAATGTAAGTGGTGAAAATGATGAGATGCATCTCATGCATGTCTCAAGAGCCTCTCGTTTTTTAGGTACACTGATATCCCCAAATTATTTTCTTTCTCTGGTTTCTGAGGTGATTCTCTGGGGAGGTAGGCTGGCAAAAAGAGGAGAGACAATTAAGAACTCAAAGTATATGTAGATATAGCTCAACTTACTGGTTCAGGTACTTGTAATGGTTTGGTTACAACAGCACCTTAATTGTTATGGATAAACTCATTCTGCTTTCAGTGCAGGATGCAAAACCCTACATGATCTATGATCCACACCATTGTCACAGTTCACAGCATAAGTATTTCTAACGTGCTGTTCTGACTGTAATGCAGGTACAGGCTTCTTTACAACCTGTATTCTGTCTTATTTGAATGTGTACTATGGTACTTAGCTCATTTACATAGGACTTTGTAAAATAATATATATATTAGTGTCTCTGCTTGGCTGAAAGTAATTGAAGCCTGTGAACCTGATTTCCCACACATGCACACACTCCCTTCCCTCCTTGACTTGTGTTGGATGACTCAAGAGAAACTTGATTGCCAGAGTAACAAAAATATAAAAGCTTGTGAGACAAGAATCATACAGCCTTCATAGGGAGCTGTTTTATAATGCTGAATAGATTATTTCACTCTTCTTTATTCCCTTTTCTATCTAATCTGCTATGTGGTTCAGACTTTTCCCTTTTTTTCTGCCTTCTTATTCCTTATCTCGATCAAAACTTTGCCCTCTCCTGAATAATAGGAAATGCCCTCTCTGAGTGCTGTAATTATTGTTGAATTTGTACTCTGAATGTGGATATGTTTGAACTTTGTCAGTGGAAGACGTTGTATTCAAAGGACTTGGAATAGGTCTGGATCTCTTTCTGTCTGGAAAAAAAGGCTTTTGATACTCTCACAGAAGTTCATCCTCTCACTTTTCTTGTGACCCCATTATCTGTTACCTTCTCCTGTATTCCTCATTCCCTCTGACTCTGTCATTTCTCTTTTGTATTTCAGACAGTGGCTAGAAGATGCACTGAGGGAGAATGAACCAGATTCCAGCTTCGTCTTTCTAGTTGGAACAAAAAAAGATCTGGTGGTGAGTAAATTGAATGCAGATAAGGAAATGGGATTTTCCCTAGTTCCTCTCATGATTTCCCTTGCAAGTTGTACACAATGTTGTTGAGACAAAGACCCTGAGCAAAAACCTTAACAAGTAAATAGAACAGTGTACTTGGAAACAATTTAAGAAGAGGGTTTCTGAAAAAATGGGTAGTTATGAAATATTTCTTGCATGGTATTTTTCAAGCACATGCAAACATACCTAATGATCTTGAAGGTTTTTTTAATTTGGTTTTTTTTTTTTTAGGGACAGTGTGTTCATTACTCAGGAACAGGGAAGATTTCTTCCTTAGTTGAATATGACATCATTGTTGGAAGAACAGGATATAATGCACTCTCTCTATACCATTCTCACTCTTGTGTTTCTCTTCCTGCAGCTATCAATACTTAGTTTTTAAAGATTTCAAAACAAACTTGGTTTCATTTGCTGTTTAATTGATTTTTTTTTTATTTCCACCTGACTGCCACAATATCACTTCTGCACTTTGTTTCTTACCCTTCAGTGAAAATAAGTCCTAGAAAATTGCATGTCTGTCAGTTTTTCTAGTACTCTGTGTAGTTTATGCTGCTTTTTCTGAGTTGCAATAAAAGCTAAATGTGCCAGACCTCTGAGGACACACATCTGAAGCCTTGTCTAAGCTAGAGTACCTTACTGTAAGTTAATTTCTGATTTTAGAATGTAGTGCTTTCAACTGAAAGGGAGACAAGAGCAAAGCAATTTAGGTTCTAGGTATTATTTCAGTGTGAAGCCAGTGTCTTCCCAACTGGATTAATTCTCCTTATCATCTTGATGTTACATAATCATTTCCAAATGTTTAGATTTCTTCTCAAGTTTGCAGGGGTTCTCTATTGTAAGACAATCTACAGAAAACTAAAAAGATGACTGGTGTCATCCATCCCAAATAGGCTAGAAATCAAAAGCAAATAGCAGCATACTTATGATTGGTGACAGAGAACAAATGAGAGGGTGAAAAGACCTGAAAACTAAGTGCAAGAAAGCAAAATCCCATTTGAAAGGGCAAGAAATTTTAGTCTTAAAAAAGAGCAAAAATAAAAAGGGGGAGAAGGCCATTGGGTTACAGCACAGTAAAAACTGATGCAATAGAAAAGAGGATATGACACAGAAACAAAACAGATTAAACCCAAAGAACTGTTGTGATTAGTTGGTCCCACAGCTCTTCTGCTGAGAGTGATGGGGTGACAAGGATGTAACTGGGCTGTTGTCTTTCCAGCTCCCTGCTGCTTATGTATTGATACAATGGTTACTCATGTTACCCCCTGCTTTGTTTTGGGGCTGTGGGAGGTGAGTGGAGACTCCATTTTAAAAGCAGCACTAAATCTGGGAATGTTCTCGCAGTCCTGTCTGGTTGCACAAGTTCTAAGGCGAGGTCAGAAAGGCAGCTGAGAAACTGGAAGCATCAGAGGACAGGTGCAGGCAGTACCTCTGTGCTGTTACCAGCCCAGATACACTGTTATATTGCAGTTATTCCATGTTGTCTCCCCAGTCAGATGCTGTGTGTGAAAGGACAGAGCTGGATGCCATCCGCCTGGCCAATGAGATGCAGGCAGAATATTGGTCAGTCTCAGCCAAAACAGGTAAATACTGCAAAAGATGTAAAAATCTTTTAGATTGTTGAGGTGGGAGGAACTTATTATCCCCCCTCTCCCCCCATTCACTTTTGTTGTTGTTGTTCTTTCATTTTGTTGCTATTAGAAACTTCAGGTTTATTAATGATCAAATTTTATTTGTGCATTTTTATTTGTGCTCGCAGTTTCATGTTTGCAGAAAGAAGTAATTGAGCTGCTTCACAGTGTCTGAGCATGTTTAATTCATAGATAGTTACATAAATACACATGTGCACCACTATTCAACATTTGCAATGGAAAAAGATCATACCACTAACTGAATTCTCTCTATTGCTGGCTAAAAATAAAGGTGCAGTACAGTATTCCAGAGTAAGAAAATTAGAAATTCTCTCTGCAGTGATCAGAATGGAAGGCAGATTGTTGGAGAGGCCTGTTCTGTCCCAGTATTGAGCAGTGAGCTGTTCACAGATGTGCTTGTTATGCTTGATCATCTGTTGATGTGCAGTTGTTAAAACACATAATTTCTGTTTTGCTCCCCAGGGGAAAATGTCAAAGAATTGTTTTCCCGAGTTGCTGCCTTGGCCTTTGAACAGTCCATGATAAAGGAGCTGGAGAACACTCCTGGGCACATGGCCCAAATTGGGGCAGGAAATCTCATCAGTATGTGGAGTTTTGGGTTTTGTGTGTATTTTCCTTGTTTACAGTCTGAAGGACTGGGGAGGTTTTTCAAGCATTAAAAGCCAGTTTCAAACACCTGCAAGCCCGTTCATGTCACTGTCTACCCAGGTTCTACCCTACGGGAGTGACTGGGTCTGCATCCAGCTTTTGTTACCCTTAGTACTGGATGGTATAATTTCTTGTGAATTGATTTTATAACTTTGCTGTTTCCACAGACCTGGAGAACATTATGGAAATCCCAGAAGGCAACACTCAAGTCAACCCGAGTTGCTGCTAATTGTCAACTGTTCCTTCAGGCACCGTGCTTCTCTGCAGCACAGCACAGAGCACCTGCAGCAGTGCAAACTCTCAGGCCAGAAACAGAGAGCTTTAATTTGGGAAACAAGGGAGGAAAAACTTAGCCAAACTTTCCTTCTGAGAGTTCCCTTGCTGCTGCAGGCTCCTTGTGCAGGGTGGTACAATTGTTACATAAACCTTTCTCTGTGTAGTCGAAACACAACATCCTTAATGCAAGGAGACATTGCCAGTGCCATGTGCTCACCTGTCTGCCAGAAGTGCTTGTCGTCAAAAATGATGTCATTTTAGTGTGTTGTTCTTTGATAATTCTCTGGAAATCTTAGATAGTGAAGTTGCATTCCCATGGGGGCAGGAAACAAGTGGCAGTTCAGAATAAAGTTCAGAATAAGTTTTTCCCTTTTAAAGTCATAGCATAAAATAACTGTGATCTGCTTTTGTGCATTCCAAGTATTTTGGAACTATTCCAGTAAAAATCTTTTTAAGTATCAGGTATGGATACACAAATGCAGACTGCATAGTTTCCACTGTGGTTTCTTCATCCAGGAAAAATCTGTATTATTTTTCATTTTCCACTTGAGAATCAGAGCCCAGTGTTTAAGTATTTCCAAGCCTAGAAGTCCAGGTAGGAACTTTGTTGTTTTATCCCATCTGTCTAATATTTTGAAAATGTTACCAGATAAGAATGCTATTCTTTTCCACTCACTTGAATAAGAAAGAATGGTCTCACAAGTGCATAATATGGAACACATATTCCAAAGAGGATGCAGATTCCTTCTCTGCATTGATCTTCATGAAAATTGTCTACATGCAGTCCTACTTTGTTGCTAAGAGTAATTCACAGATTTCACAGAATATTCCTAATTGGAAGGGACCCACAGGGATCATCGAGTCCAGCTCCTCAGTGAATGGCTCATATGTGGATTGAACCCACAACCCTGATGTTATTGCACCCTGCTCTAACCACCTGTTTTGGTTTGGGTTTTTTTTGTAATAATATAATAAGATTTTGGAACTGTATGTGGTCTCAGTCATGAATCTGATCACCCCTGTCTGAGGTGGGAACTCAGAGCCAGCAAGGCTGGATTCCATACTGAGGTAAAGCAGCTTTAAAATGCTCTTTTTTCCCTTGGGCAACAATGACTGATGCCCAAAGACATTCCTCTTTCAAAAGTTATTCCTGCTGACAAATGGCATTGTCAAAAATTACTATAACAAATACTTGGCCAGTATTTGTGAAATTGCATTAGTATGCTTGATTATGCCAATTAGGTTTAAACTGCAGAAGTACCAAAGAAGTGGAAGGGAAATACACTCATTTTATTTCCTTCTAAGTTTTCCAACAGCTCACTGAATTCTAACATTCAGTCGTGAGTGTCTAGTTAATGATATTTCTCTAAGGATAAATGAGATGTTATAAATCTTTTGCTTGCAGTAAACTGTTCAAATGTATGGCCTTCACAACTACTGTAAGCACTCAAATCATAGAACTAACGAAGGAATCAAGGTGGGACAACAGAAACACTCTTTCTCTAGGGATCTATCAGCAGCTTAGAACTCCCATATTTCTAAGGTTTGTATCCAGCACTTCATGCTATGCTGGCATTAAAAAAAAATAGAGTATTTTAAATTTCATACTGCAATAATTTTAAATGGAGAGAAAGAAGAAAACTTATGAATGGTTACAAGTTACAGTTTCTTAAGATAGTAATGCAATCACTGCAGAAACAACAGTATCTGGAAAACTAATTATAACAGACCCTTTCAGATTTGAGCTGCTCAGAAATAAGGACACTTGTTAATAAAGCAATGCATCAAACTGAAAATACTCTAGATTCTCTGACATTTTCCCCAATTTGTTTGACAAGACATAGAAAAAAGTGGAGAAAAGATGACTTAAACATCTTTTTTATTACTTTTATTTCATTATGATGTAAGTTACAGCAGCTTCACAAAAAATGATGGATAGAGATCTAAGAACTCTCTGTCTGTTTTATTGGACAATCTTCACTTTGGCAATTGTGCTGACTGTTGGCAAAGACACAAATGTAGCATTTGGTGGAAAAAATGAGTCTGTGAGGGTATGTAAGGAGCTATTTATCCAAATGTGTGATATTTTGACCTTATGGTGTTCCATGTATTAGTCCAGTCCCCGAGTCTGCTTCCCAAGGATGACAAATACACACTTTGCTTGTGCCGTGTGCTGGGCTGAGCGGGCAGCGTGGCCACGGCCTCGTGTTTGCTGAGTCTGAATGAGAGGAGAAAAGCTGGTTCCCTCTGCTGCAGCAAGTCAGGTTGGCTGGGCCTGGTGCTGGGTTTCAGTGCTGGCATGCTGGTTTAGTGTTTACAGTGCAAAATGACTCTAGCAAATCCAAGATAAAAATCGGGATTTTTTTCTGCCCCTCAAGAAATATGTCTCCTGAGGGTTTCTTTTGTTGATGAGCTCGGTTATTGTATAAAATCACAGAGATGCAATCTCTTCAGCAACACAATCATGGTGCTTGGAAAATCAACTGGGACAGGTTTTCTTCTAGTGATTCAGTACATTGCTTGATGTCATTACTGTTTAGTATCATCTGGAGCTCCAAAAAGTTCAAATACAAATGCAATACTCAGTCAGTCATTAACTGTGACTTGACAATGGCCTGACTCCATCTCTATTATATGATGGATGCTTTGAGACTGGGGTTTTTGTTGTTGGTGTATTGGTTTTTGTTTGGTTGGGGTTTTTTTCGCTTGGTTGGTTGGTTTTAAGGACGTTTTTTTAGTGCTACTGAGATTTCCCCTGCAACAAACTCAGTATTAATATTTAATCATCTAAAATGGATCTTGGATTGTGTTGCAAATGATGAGTTGCTGAGGAAAGCACAAAGGAAAATGACTATAGAAAATAAATATGAATTTGCAAGTTCTAACTGGTCAGTGTTTTACCTCTGTATGTTAATCCATTCTATCAGCAAATTAATTGGCTTAGAAGAAGCCGTAATACCACGGAAAAGAGTGTTGAAAAAACTGTATTAACTGTAACCATGGGTGGGCTAACCCACGATCTCTGTACCAGTTGAAATTCCCTCAGTGATTATGGCAACAGTCACAGCTCCAGCTTCCTTGTGGAACTTTCAGGTGAGAAACTGAAGAAGTGGAATTTGGAGTCAGTCTGAAGCAAAGGTAAAGAGCAATTGGAATAATCAATTCCCCCTGGAAGGACTAATGTTATGCTGTTTCTTGTCTTAATAAGTAGAAGCTTAACATGTTAATGATTTCCTGGTTATATAAGGGTGCATTTGTGCTGAGCAAAACTACTGGCAATGGATCAAAAGCTATTTAAGAAAGTAAACTGACAAAGTTAATTTCTTACTATAAAAGCCTTTTAATTTTTAATCGTGTTGTTTTGCCTGTTGAGTGATTATTTGACACTCAGGATATTATGATTTATAGTCACATAGGTCATGTGATTCAGACCTTTCTGAGCCCTGTTGGGTCCCAGCTCAGGTTTGCCTTGTGGTGTGACTGGAGTCCATTCTTCACAAATAAATCTGTCCCCTCTGTGCCTTTTCAGGTTTCCACCAATAGTTAGAGGTTGTTCTAATACAATGCACTGGTGAGTGAATGCTCTGAACCCTGCTCTTTATCACATCCTCTGAGCAGGAGAGTTGAAATGAAGTGTTTGGTGAGTTGTAGGAGAATCTGTATTTGGTATTGGAGAGGGTTGCTCAGCTTCCTGTGGTTTTGGCCAGAAGGTTGTTCTCACAGTGAGAAATTGCCATTCTCTGAATTTGAAGGAGAGTTCCTTTATTTCTGGGTTCATAGAATGATTTATACTGCATGGAATGTCTCAAGACTTGCCAGCCTTGTCAAACTCTCCCAGAGTTCTTTGTATTTACAAAAATCCAATTGCTTAGTTTCAGGCATAGATTAATCAGATATCATATTTTAATTCTCATTTTAAAAGCTCAGCTTATGTCATACAGTTATTTTGTTTTTACAGTTATTTTTTTTTTCTTACAAAACCTCCTGTTCTTTCGCGTGGGATCGGGCTGAAGGACAGTTCCTCAGTGACAGCTCGCGAGCTTTTCCCTAAACCAAGCGGCTCCTCTTCCCACAAGAGGGAGCTCGGAGGTCACTGCAGGATGAGATCCGTGCCGGCTCGGAAGGGCTGCGCGATCTCTCGCAGGCCAGCAGAGGGATGTGCCGGGCACTCTGTCCATAGTTTAGCCCCTCATCGCAGGATTCTCAGTCTCAAATCACAGGTACGTGTCTACCACCATCGTCTTAATGAAATTTTGTATCCTATTAAAATGCTGAATGCATAAAGTGTCAGCAAAAATTCAGAGAGCCCTTGAATTCCCAGAGGAATTTCTGATGTTGTGGCACTTCAATAGATAAAGAGGCTGTAGTTGTTTAACAGTATTATTCACTTAAAAGTTAAGTGTGCACATAGAAATCCCTCATCTGACTCACAGGAATTCTTACTCCCTCCAGAAAGGGCACCACTGAGGACCCAAATAGAAAACAGTCATAAAAAACCAGGATGGTGAGACCTCAGTAAAAGCACTGTATGAATTCAGAACACATCCCTAGGATGTAACATACCTGCCTTTGTTAGAACCATGCCAATGCAGTCTGAGGCTTCAGATTCCAGAAATACATTGCATGTCAGAATTTCATTGGTCCAAATGGCACTAAGCAAACAAATAATATCAACGGGGAAAAGGCAAGTTATTTTATTTCTGTAATAGATTGAGATTTCTTGAAAGATTTATAGAGTTATTTATTGAACATATAGATTTTATTATGATTTAGATTATAATCTGTTTTCCATATAGGTCAGCCAAAGCCTGTTATGTGTTAAAAGCTGAGGAAACAAATGCAGGAAAAGAGGTTAAAGCCAGGAAACAAAAACTGAGAGGGATGAACTATGCAAAATGGAATGATTAGCCATTTGTGATGTGTCTGAAAATACCCAAAAATATTTTGTTTGGCATATAAAAATGCATGAAGAGAAAAACTTGGATTTTGAAACACTACATATCTCAAAGGTAAGAGAGCTACTCCTGTGAAGTTGTGCTTTTCCTTCTTATGGGATTCTGTTAGTTCTTGTCAGGGCTATATCCCACCCTCTTTTCTAACAAGTACCAGAAAAGATACACCTCACTGCAGATATGAAAGCAGCAGGTTTATGGAGCATAGGAGATGTACATCTCTCACCTTTACCGGTCATCCAAACAGGCAAGATGAAACTTCAGTTGTGTTTGTTACCATTTTTTCAGAGGTTTAATTAACACATGGAAGGGATGCAGGGCTTAAGCAAGATCATGTTCTGTGATTTCAGAAGGAGCAGTACTCGGCAGCCAGACTTTTGTTTAAATCATTTGCCACCCTTCACCCAGAGCTGGGGCATGGGACTCTGAGTTATTTGGACTAGGATAATACACAGGGCAAAAGTGAGACTAATGCAGAACAAAGCAGGCGTTATTGCTGGTCTCATAGTTATTTTGCCCATCTCAGAAACCAGCTTGTCATTTATTGGTGAGGAAGGTCAGCTTGAGGGAATGACAAGCCTGCTACCAAGCAGCACTCACATGAGTGGGGGAAAACATGACCTTTGAAGGTGAGGTGCATCAGTGCCTGGGGGGAGAGCCTTGCTGCGAGCGCAAGAGAGAGCACAGAGACGTGCTGGTGTTTATACATAATATATGAGGGCATGGCTGTATGGACGAGAATGGATACCTCCCTATACGCTGTGTGCACGCTATGCTCAGGCTTAGGCATAGCCATGTCTCTATGGTGCGATGATGTCCAGGCCTGTGGCTGCAAGCGCGACTTCGCACATCCCCGCCTTTGTCTCCGGGGCAGCCGCGGGGAAGGGGCAGGGCCCCCCCAGCCCCGCGGGGTCCCGCGGCCCGGCCGGCCCGGCTGCCCCTTTAAGAGGCCCCAGCGCCGTGTCAGTGCCTGCGCCGGGTCCTTCGCTCTCCTCCCCTTCCGCAGCGCCGGGGCCGGGCCGCGATGGGCCACCGCGGGCAGCGGCTGCCGCGCCGCCGGGGGGGCTCCCGCGGGGCCGCGGTGCGCCCGGGCACGGCCGGGTAGCGCCGGAGCTCGGCCCGGACCCGCCGCCGCAGCGCCGCTCCGAGCCCGGCGTGTGCGCCCGGAGCACAGCACAATAGCCGGGAGGAGGAGACAGGGAAAGGGGCAGGGGGAAAGGAGGAGAGAGAAAGAGAAAGCACAACACGGGGGCTGGCGAGGCAGGACGGAGCGGAGGAGGACGGAGCGTGGCTGCGCCGAGGACCGTGCCCAGGACGGCGGCGGCAGGAGGCGGGTGGGGGGCGATATTTACCTTCCCGCCCCCGCCCCGAGCCTGCTCCTTTGTCCACCCACTTTGAAGTGCTCGGGGATCGCCGGGGTGGAAGCATTGTTGTTCGCCAGCAAGCGATCAGTCATGCCGGGGAGAGAGTAGCGAGGGGACGCGGGGCTGGGGCCGGCAAAGGCTGAAGGAGAGAGGATCGCGAGGGAGGATCGCCGCTCGCCTCCCAGTGCCGCTGCATGGACCGTGGAAGAGACGCGCTGAGTTGACCCCGCCGGAGCTGTTTCTGCTTCTACATGTGAGATCCGGTTGGTTTTTTTCTGTCCACCTCTCTCTCTCCAGCCTCCTTCTCGTATTCTCCAGTTACTCCCGTATGCAAAATGGTGGACCCTGTGGGGTTTGTGGAGGCTTGGAAAGCACAATTTGCAGACTCTGAGCCTCCTAAAATGGAGCTGAAATCTGTGGGAGATATTGAACAGGAGCTGGAGATGTGCAAAGCATCTATCCGGAGACTGGAGATGGAGGTGAACAAGGAGAGGTTCCGCATGATTTACCTGCAGACTCTTCTGGCAAAGGAGAAAAAAAGCTATGATAGACAGAGATGGGGTTTTAAACGTGTTTCTCAGTTGCCTGAAGGGGGTGCAGAGCAGCAGATCCAGGACCTGCATCATCACCAGTCTGCTGACCAAGAGGAATATGAAAAAAGCAAGTCACACCACGGGGAGGAAAAGTTCAAACCCAGGATCCCCTCTCTGCGGAAGCTGTCTACCCAGAGTGATGGGTCAGACCTGTCCCCTTTGGACAGCCCCCATCACGGAGAAGGAGAGCAGGACAGGTCCAAGTACTACGGGGAGGAGAAACTGAAGAGAGTTGTGGAAGATATGGAGAATCGCTGTGATACTGATGGCTCTCCTTCAAAACACAGATCGGCTTCCACTCGTAGGCTGGTGGGATCTGCTGAGAAGGAGGGATCATTTGAACCTAAGGAGAGAGGGAACAGCACCAGTGTGGCAGCCCTGAGGTCCAATTTTGAGAGAATGAAAAAGGTTAACTCGCATTCTTCTGGAGATAACAAGGATGTTGTTGAAAAGCCCTTTTATGTGAACATGGAGTATCATCATGAGAAGGGTCTAGTAAAGGTCAACGACAAAGATGTTTCTGATAAAATAAGCTCCCTTGGCAGCCAAGCCATGCAAATGGAACGCAAAAAGTCTTTGCACTCCCTCCCTTCTAACATGGTACCCAGCTTCAGCGAGTTCCAGAGGCCTGCGTACAGGGGAAGGTCCTCGGAGAGCAGCTTTGGCTATGATGGAGAATATGAGGATGCTGAACTGAACCCCAAGTTTCTCAAAGATAATCTGATTAATGCCAATGGCAGCAACCGCTCACCTTGGCAGCCCATGGACTTCCAGCCGTATCAAAGTATCTACGTTGGTGGAATGATGGGGGAAGGAGAAGGCAAAGGACCTATTCTGAGAAATCAGGGCACGACTGACCAGGAAAAGCATCTCACGTGGCCCAGGAGATCTTATTCCCCCAGGAGTTTTGAAGACATTGGAGGAGGATATACCCCTGACTGTAGCTCTAATGAAAACCTTACTTCCAGTGAGGAAGACTTCTCCTCAGGACAGTCCAGCCATGTCTCCCCCAGCCCCACCACCTACCGCATGTACCGGGATAAAAGCCGTTCTCCCTCCCAGAACTCTCAGCAGTCCTTTGACAGCAGCAGTCCCCCAACCCCCCAGTCTCAAAAACGGCACAGGCAGCAGCAGGTCATTGTGTCTGAGGCTACTATTGTGGGTGTACGAAAAACAGGACAGATCTGGCCAAGTGATGGAGATTTGCCCTCTGGGAGATGTCACCAGGACAGCTGTTTCCATGGGGATACAGGTGCGTATCAGCTTTTCATTGAGTCTTTTAAATGTATAGAGCAGGGAATGGCATTGTGGAAAAGAATGGGATACCCTGGGTGAATTGCTGTGAGCAGGCAACTGTTTCATGTGAGAAATCTGTGTTTATTTTGTAGTTCTGCTGTTTCAGGAAGGTCCAACAGAAGTATATGTCAGGCTGCATTTTGGGAAGTCAGCCTGGATTCCCAGAAGGGTCAATTCAGGCCTCTCTGGAGAGAATCAGTGGAGTCCCATGTTAATGAGTTCTTAAAGTTTCAGTGTGAACACTGAGGTGAAAGGGGGCCAGTACTTTAGAAGGTATTCACCAGCTGTGGTAAATTCACCACCAGATCATTCCCTCCCTCGTATTTTTGCACTAAGGAGCAGTTAAACTCTACCTCAGAGGTGGTAGTGTGCCAACATGCTACAACCCGAGGGTTTTGCTGGAGCTTTCCCGATAATGATGCTGCTCCCACAATCTTGTTTTTTCCTGTCTGTATTAATTGGAGTGCTCGTTTCTCGTTCTGTCTTGTGTCAGCCTTCAATTAGAGCTGATTGGAGGTGATGATTGTGCAACCGTGTTCTTGAAGCTTTCTGCTATCACTGAATGAGGGAAGAACTTGGAATATTAGGAGGCCCTGAGGGAAAGATGTTAATTCAGTTTCAACAGAATCACAATTTTTGTTTGGGGGAGAATGGGCAGTGTTTGAACCCGTTCCTATGTAAGCCATTCAGGCATGCAGGTGTGTCTGTGGAATCACAGTGAATTTATAGTTGGTGGAAGAGGCATACAAGGAACTATGTTAATTCAGATAGATTTACTGAATGTGTGTGGACATCTGAATCTATTTAGCAAGGCAAGGCACAAAATGTAAATAGCATCTTGTGCTAACACCACCAGTAGTCATTTATGCAGTAAATGAAAATCAAATCCAGGAATTAAAAAAAATATGAATGTTTTGTTTTGACAGACTTCTGTAATTCTAAATCTGTGAGTTCTCTTGTGGGTTTTCTTTGTCTCTTTGAATCTCTCATTTTAATAAGGTGTTAATATGTTATTTGTCAATGGGACCAAGTTCCTGAAGTAGTAGGTGAATTGAGAGGCCTGTCAAATGTTGTCACTTTTTCAGGCTGTGTGAGTTTGCTGTATTAGTTCTCAGAAAAGTAACTTTGCTGGAAGGAGATGCCTCGTTCTACTCTCCCTGCCAGTTGTTTTTGCCAGCAGTACTTTTGGGAGCAACAACAGAGGGAGAACTCTTCCCTGCCCCACCACCATCCTCATATCCCGTTGTGTTATTGGAAGGCTGGATGGTTGTGGTGGATGTTCAGTGTATGTGGAAGCTCTGCAGCCTGTCCTCACATCCTTCCTTACCAGACTGGATGTACATCCCTGTTTTCTCTCTGCATTCTTGCTGGTTTTGCTGCCCGTTTGTATCTTAGGGGTAGCACTTGCAGTGCAGGGGAGAGGCTGGGTCTTGTGCTCCTTTGAACTGAGCTGCAGCCATCTGTCTCTGCTCTTGTTTACTGATGCTCTTTAGATGACTGGGAAGCCTCCTGGCAGTTTCAGTTTTTGCAGAAGGAAACAAAGGGGCAAAAAATAACATGGGTTGATAAAGCTCGAGGATAAATTCAGCTTTGAGAAAGGCAATAGATTATTTTAAATAATTTAGCTGGGATGAAGTGATAAAAAAAAAAAGGGCTGCTGAAAAGTCGAAACACTTACAATTCCTGGCTGTGCTGGAAAGCTTTGTGTCTTGTTCCTGAGGATGACCACACATTGCAGGCAAGGACAGAATGTAACTGATCCACCTTCTGCTTTCCTCAGCAAAGGGGGTGACATGGCAAGCTTAGCAGGAACTTTCACCAGATGGCTAATCACTGCTGTCTTGCACATTAGCGGGTGGCAACTTTTTACTTAACCAAAAAGGCTTATGCCTTCAGGAGGAATTCTGTGTTTCTGATTAATTCCTACTGAGCATCATTTTATACGAATTTTATTTCTTTCCTGATTAGGAAGAATTTTGATCTGAAACCAACTGGCAGAACCTCTCTTTCATAAAACAAACAAAAGGCATGAGAGACCCGTGTGTGATTGGCTGGCTGGCTCCCATTCCCAACTACCATGCTCTGATGAGGATTGTTCTCCATCACCATATGACACAGAAGCAGTTCACAGATCCAGACAGCTTTTCCCACACCTGTGGTTCAATCACTGGTTCTGCCAGGCTTCCCTGAAGTTTTGCTTGAACAGAGTTCGAGTGACAGGTTCTGGCCAGCCTTAATGTTGATTAGCATCAAGTGGGGTTTGTTCAACAGTGTTTGACTTCTCTGTGCATTCAGATTTCTGTGTGCTTCCTGGCTTTGCCTTTGATGGCTCTTCCCATAATAATGCTGAATGTGCTATGGGCAGGTGCAATGTGACATTTCTGTCTGGATCTGCCACCCCAGTGCACCTTCAGCCTGGTCAGCAGACATGTGCTGTTCTGTCCAAATTATTTCATGAGTTCACAGACCAGTGATGTTTTCCTTTTGTATTACAAAAAAAGGACCTAACTCTCAAGTGAATGAGGTCCAAGCCAAAAGTTGAATCTGGGTTCTTGGAGATGGGTTATCAAAAACTTTACATCAGACCAAGGTAGTAGGCTTTCAGTTTTTTTCAAGGAGCAGAATCAGAGCTTCAGGGTTGAGATTTGGTAATAGCTGTACTTTCTATTAAATGTACTTAATAGAGCCTGGGCAGAGATATTTATATTAGGATTAATTATGTATCACTAATTTCCTGTAGTGGGAATAGAAAAAAAATCTCATCTTAACTTTGCATTAAGCTTGAATATCTTTACTATGATTGTGAAGGAAGAACAAAATTTTTAAAATTCAGCCTACTGTTAAACATTAGTTGCAGACAGACACAAGAAGAACCTGTTTTGCATTTGTGCTTATAATCAAGGGGAAGTCTGCACAGTGCTGTTATGGAGTGTTGGGGCCTCACAATGGCCTTGGCTGGGTCAGTTTTTAACTAGTGGCAATTTGCTAATGAAGGAACACACTGGAGTTGTTGCTTGGCTTTGTAGCTTGCTTCATACAATCAGTGCATGCTGTCTCAGCTCTGTGTGTGAAATGATTTTATCTCATAACAACATGGAAACTGTCTGGACTCCACATAAATAATATTTACCTGCCCAGGTGCTTCCCTCAAGGTGCCCCCGTAGTGACTTCTGTTCACGTGAGGAGACTTGATGGTGCTCTGAGTGTCCTGCCAGGCTCTTTCTCTAGACAGCCACCAACAACCACAGTGCTCAGTGCAAGGTCAGTTTGGGATATGTGTCATTTAATTCCATTGGGAGTGAAGTTTTACTTATTTTAGCTGCTACTAAGTGTGGGAGTGCTGAATGTCCCTTTCAGGAGAGCATGGAACATTCTTTATATTTTTAGTGAGTTTGATGTAGACAGAGAAAAGAGTGGTGAAATTTATGCATGTGAACTGCAAAACTCAAAATTCCTGTTATCTCAGCTGAGCAGAATGCCATTTTAAAGCTTCTACTTACCTAGAGCTGTAGGTTCTTCAGTTTTTGTGTGCCTTAAATGCCTGACCAGATAGGCAAGCATCTACATTTCCTGCTGTTAAGCTAAACCTTGACACTACTTATTTGCAAAGCCCCAAGAAAGCATGCAGTGTTTCGTCATGGAAGGGCCTTGTTCTGTACCAGTTTCTGCAAGAGTCTGTTCCTGAGTTATTTGAATCTTCTGAGGTCTTGGACAAGTTCCTTCATTCTGCACTTCTTCAACTCACTACTGTATTCTGTGGATTTTAGTTTGAAGATGTCATTTGAAAAGTTCTTTGCAGTGTTTTAGTGGTTCAAAGACTCCTGAGGCAACATGCCAGTCCTGTTTAGAAGCACAACTTTCCTTTGAGCAGCTGAGGCAGACTTCAGTCCACTCTGTAGTGATTCTTCCTTCTGAGGGGCTGAAATGTGGGAACTTCCATAATGTGCAGATTGTTTGTCAATTTTAGAGTCTGCTGGCCACAGGTCCTGCTTTCCATCTGTGACTTACATTGGATCAATAATGAGGTTTAGATATTCTCTGAAACTTGTTTAGTTCATTTCACTCTTATTTGCTGTACAAGTTTTAATCCTTTGCTGTGATGATCAGTGGATTTCCTAGGAGCACTGATGCCAAGATGCTGTTTAAATGCAACCCCCCACCCTGCCTTGCTTTTCAGTGATTTAGTGGCTTTTGAGATTTTTGAGATTATCAAGATGCCTGTGCTACCACTCCCTGCTTAGTCAGGGGGAGTGAAGAGCTCCCTCTCTTTCTCTGACAGATTTCTCTTTCCCTCCAGCTGAGTTTAATGGAATCTGTGGAGCTTCTGCTTTATGTCCCCAGTGATTATAGTGGACTCTGAAGTCCTGTTGGTCTTGTTCCTTCTTCCACAACAGTTGCTAATGTTGTGGCCTACCGTAGGTAATGGCATGCAAATAGATTTTATTTTAACTTTTCTTAAGTTTACCCCAGATCATGGAGTTTTTCCTACCCCAGTGTTCAGGTTCTCCTGCAATCACAAAGCACCTGCCTTTGAAATGAGAGTGTAAACCAGCCCAGACAGCTGTTGTCTGGTACTGGGAAGCCCTGGGGAGTGCTGGTGTCACCTCATGTGTCTGTGTGAAGCTCATTGTCGTGATCCGTGACACAGAGGTTGAAGTGAGACTGACTTTGCTGTGGAGTGAGCAGACAGAGAGCTATGAATTCTGCAAGTAAATGGTCAGGTGGAAAGCTGCTTATCCCTGCCTAAGTACCAACAGTCCCCCAGTGGTCTCTCTGGCAGCAGAGCTGAGCTCACTGTGCAGCTGCCACTGCTGTGGGAGGGCCTGGGCCCATCGCAGGCAGCCAGTGACCTCTGGCTGGGCAGGTGAAAGACATTATTAGTGCAAGCCTAAAGTTTGGGAGTGTTGCAGGAGCTCAAGTAGGACCAAGCTGCAGCAGAGCCCTGGGGATACCCCC